CCGCAGCCCCTTCATGGTTATTAGAGATGCTGAAAATTTCACAGTGAATGTGTTTGACAGCTGAATGTACAGCTGTCCAGAACACAGGGAAGCCAATCACTGGATAGATTCGGCTTGCATTTTTTATTTATTTATGTATTTATTTATTTATTTATTTATTATTCGACTTGGTATACCACCCTAACCCCCGTGGGGGTCTCTGGGCGGTTCACATTTGAGGAGTGCTAATCACGATTTTATCCTTAACTACGGCCACATTCTGGAAGGGGGATGGGGCAGCCTACCAGCACCCTGGTGGAGGCTGATGTTCTTTGGCTTCTGGCTTCGTTCCCGGAGGTTCACCGGCTGTTGTTTCTCCTGGCGCTTGAATCCGGCACGGAGTTGACGCCCTCCTTCGGCCCGGCTTACCTCCCTCAGGCTCCGCCGCGCTTTGAGGATGGCGCCACTGCGCCTCTTGCTCCACGGCAGCTGCTTGTTGTTTCCCGCCTCTGGCCACCAGGGATCACTCCTCCGGTCTGTCGCTGCTGCTGCTTGCTGCCGCCGCCACGTCGCCTCAGCCGCTGGTGTTCCACCATTTCCGCCGCCGCCGTTGCCATCCACACACCTCATGGAGGAGGGTGCCCCCCACCCTTCTAAGGGTGGGTACCCATTTATCTACTTGCATTTTTTAATTACATCAGCTTTCGAACCACTGGGTGGGCGGGAGCTAGGGCTAGGGTCAAGAGCTCACCTCGACCGTGGTGGGTCTCGAACAGCCATAGTGGCTGTTCGAACAACTCGAATAGCTACTGAACAGAAGTTGCATCTCCAGCTTCTCTCTGACTCCTCACCTTGCAAGGACCCAGGAGGACGTTTAGACAGGAAGACCAGAAGCTGACCATAGCTGATATCAGCTGGGATTCTGCTTCTGTTCTTTTGATCCCCCAAGCTTCTCTCCGTCCCTGCAAAGCTGGGACGCAGGGAGTAACTTGGAGTGGTAGGAAAGAAGCAGTTGGCTTCTGTTCTACCTACTGCGAGGCTCCAACGTTGTAAATTTTGGGTGTCCATCACTTCTGTCTTCCCCACTCCAAATTGACTGGGGGAATCACAAGCCTACTCCCAGCTCAGGTAGAAGTGGGCTCCTGAACCTCCACTACCTCGGGGGGAAAAAACACTGTGTCTTACTAGCAAGGCTGGTTGGAGATCAGAAGCCCGCTGCTGAGCTCCAACTTTGTGGTGTCCCAGGTGTACTTGGACACAGCCATTTTTTCCAGTAAAGGGGGATGTAGATCAGAAACTCCTATCTGTGCTGGAAGGGGGCTTCTAATGAACACTCCCCCCCCCGCGCCTGGAAATATTACTGTGTCCTAGGAAGTCTGGGGCGTAACAAAGGTTGGAGAGTACTGTGTACAGTTCTGGTCACCCACACCTCAAAAAGGATATTATAGCATTGGGAGAAGTGCAGAAAAGGGCAACTAGGATGATAAAAGGGTTGGAAAACTTTCCCTATGAAGAGCTTGGGGCCCTTTTAATTGTATATTTATAACATGCTGTCACTGGCTGTGAGCCAGTTTCAGGGAAAGCGGGTTATAAATTAAATAAATTAATTAAATAATAAATATGATAAATAAATATGTCCTTGCATGCCTGGAAGTCATGGCGGCTTCTGGCAACCCCTACTGGGGGCTTGGATGTTTTTCAGAAAAGTGGCTTGATAGCCTGCCTCTGCGTCCTGAACCCTGGTATTCCTTGGAGGTCTCCCTTCCAATTATTTGCTAGGGTCGTCCCTACTTAGCTTCTGAGATCTGACAAGATCAGGCTTGCCTGGGCTATCCAGGTCAGGGCAGCTGGTCATCCATTTCTGTTGGTTGCACCTAGCCTGTTTGTGCCAAATAGATAGAAATGGATTGGAAACTGCTGAACTAACCGTCAACAGATATACTGCTTGATTGCGCCTGGTGAACACCATGCAAGGCTGAACTGGTGGGTGTTCAAATATTACTAATGGCTATTACTCCACACAGTTCCTGTGCTTCTGGGAATTGGGAGAGGCAGGGCTCTTTTTGTAGAAAAAGCCCAGCAGGAACTCATTAGCATATTAGGCCACACCCCTACCAGCACAGCTCATTAGTACATTAGGACGCACCCCCATGTTACCAGAAGTGTGGTTATCCAGCCACACCC